GCATTCCTGGAACGTTACCTCAACCCAGGCCCAACCCTCCAGTACGACAAGGATCGCTGGTTTTCCAAGCAGTGGACGCTTGTCAGCGAGGAAGCAGTCACAAGTGGGTTACAAGACGGCGTTGTTTTTGTCCTCAAGTGCTTGGACTTCAGCCTTGTTGTTAATGTGAAGAAAATCCCCTTCATCAAACTCTCAGAAGAGTTCATAGACCCTAAATCTCATAAATTTGTCCTCCGCTTACAGTCTGAGACTTCAGTCTAAGGGATTTTGAGGGTGGGTTTTGGGGGGATTTTTTTTTTTTTTCAATATTGTGCTTTCGGGTTTAATTTCCCCAATGCTGACTGAAACTGGCAGATGATGGACCAGTAATATTTGACCATCTGCACTTTATTTGGAAAGGGGAGGGGGGAGTTGGGATATCTTACCTAGAAAGAAATATCTTAAGAGGCGACAGGGTGACTTGTCTCGGTTAGCTCAGCCTTGGGAGACAGAACAGATTTTTTCCTCTCCCCCCCCTTTCCAGGCCTACTGTAAATCTCACGCTCTCTCTTTCTCCGCACGATTGCAATGTCGGTATTTATGTTGGAGCGCTGCCTTACGCCCTGCGCGCACACACGCTTTTGTGTGTCTCCTTTTGCTACCTGTAGCTGTTTCTGAGAGCGCGTTGCTCACCTCTCCACTGTAGAAACCTGCTTGCCTGGTGGGGTTTGCAGTCCCTGTTCACTTGGGGAGGAGAGGGTAGCAAAAGGCTAGGTGTGAGAGGTCTGTGTTTGTGAGCCACCTCATCTGGAGACTGAAGACTTACTCTTTTCCTCCTCTCCATGTGCCCTCTTCTGTCAGTGCTGGACCTGTATGAGCACAGCGGGATGATTTTGCTTACTGTGTCTCTGAAGTTGCTTATGTTGAACTGGATCAGCCCATCTTGCAGCTCTTCAGCTGGTGGGGTTTGTTTTGTTTTGTTTAATTTTTTTAATCAGTGCTTGTTAGTGAAACTGTTCTGTGTGACACAGCTCTCTGCTATCTCTCACCTGCTTCCATCTCTCCTGCTTGCCTGCGTCTGTCGGGCACTCCTGAGGCTCCCTGTTACTGGTTTTCCGAATGTGTTTCTCCAGCTATGGTCCCCTCAGGGTCTGCCTTACCACTGCTTCCTTTTGCACCTGCAAGGGCTGTGTATTTGCACTGGGACAAGGTAGATAAGTGGCTGGCTCCTCCTCAGATAAATCACAGACCCTCCTTACATCTGACAGCCTCTTTGAGGAGATGAGGGGTGCAGGAATGTGCCCATCCCTCTTCAGCTGGCTTGAAGTGTGTCTGGATGAAAGGTGGGGAAAAGCACTTCCCTCCTTGGGGAGCAGAGCCAGGAAAAGGCTAACCTCTGCCATGTGCACTTGCTCTGGAGAACTGCTGTGCTCTAGAAACACTGCAGTGTGTCCTTCCCCACCGTATGCCTTCAGTTATAGCTAAGAAATACCAAACTGTGTCTGAATGTTGAAAATCCACCTGCCTTTCTTGGCCTTCCTGTACTGCAAGAGTTTCTGCTCAGTGCCGGGATCTGCTCCTGAGAGAGATGCGTAGCTCTTTAATTGCAGTTTGATTTGTAAGGCATCAGCACAGCTTTCATGTGTGACTTGTCGTCTGACATTTGCAGCTTTGAAAGGTTTGCTTTTAAAGATGAGCCAGCACAGGGCACTGCATAACTCTGGAGGCAGCTCTAAAGCTGGCAGTGACCTGCCTTCAGTCAGGTTCCTCTGAGATCCCCCCAACTCTGTGGCAGTGGATTTGCATGTGTTAATGCAAACACTTGATACATTCTGCCCAGGCTTTTGCCATGCAAATATCTCTATCAGGCAGGATCTGACCTGCCCTCCTTAGGGATGTCTTAACGCAGAGGGCCCCAGTTCAGCAAGGCACATAAACCAGTGCCTTTCATTGCCAGGGTGCATTGTCTTCTGAGGCGGGCTGTGGCAGCCCTTCCTGTCCATTTTGGCCTTCCCTGTGCTTCTCCAGGAGCTCCTGGGGCTGCCTTTGTGCTCCCACCAGTGTGAGATGGCCCAGATAAGAACGGGGCTTTGTTAGACCTGTGTGGCATGACTGGTGTGGGCTGGCTGGTGCCTACCATAAGCTGATGGGAGAGAGCAGCTGCCTTAAGCAGGGATACAGGGGACAGGGCGGGAGGGTCCAACCTCTTCCAGCTTCAGCAGCAATGGAGCTGCATGTCCAGCAGCACCTGCAGATAGTCCTCTTGGGATCAAGGGAGCACCCTGGTGAGCAAAAGTCCAAAGTGGTGATTGGTCATCCAACTGACACCCACAGTCTCCTGCACCTTTCTTTCAAGTGCGTGGTAGTCACCTGGACCCTGTCTTCGCCCTGTTATATGCCAGACATGGCTGTGAAGAAACTAGATGGTGCGGTACGTGATGGGATCAGGCCCATGTTCCTTAAAGGATGTGAAGTAGGTAGAATTTTTCCTTTCCTAAACTTAATGTTTGGGTTTTGTTCTAGGCTTTCTGTTAGTCTGTACAGGGACTCCTTTACTGACTGTGGCCTTCGCAAGGTTTTATTTTGAAAATCATTTTTTATTTTTAAAAAAGGAATAAAAAGGCAGGGGAGTACATAGTATCTCACACTTGGCTCTCCTGAAGATATATGTATCTGGCTTTTATGATGTGCATAACCAGCAAGGTGGGAGAGACTGTGGGAGTAGCTTGGGAGACTTATGGAGCACTTATGCCTGTGTGGAGGCTACTGCCTGTGGCTGAATTGGCTCATTTTTGTGACGCCAGAACAAGAACCACCTTGCCGGGGGCTTGGGTGTGCCATGTGCGCAAGAGCACCTCGCCACAGGCACCTCTGCAAAACTTTCTTACTTTCCCAGGATTTCCTTCCCTTTTCCTCTTCCCTCCCCCATGAGGGGGGTTGTCTGACAGTCTCTGCTCAGGAAGCTCACGTCTTAATTGCGCGAAATCCTTGAACACATGAAGAACCAGACGGAAGCAGTGTGTGCTTGCTCTGGGTCTGCTTCTTCATCTGTGTGTTCAGCACTGCCTTTTCTGCCTGTTGCCGAAAAAGGACTCTGTCCATGGGGGCCATCTCCTACATTAAGCACTCTTCCCTGTGTCAGCTGCATGAATGTTTTGCCCAATGAAGTCTGAAGGAGAGGACTTGGCCTCTCAAATAGTCTCTTCAGAGATACAACTTGCTTAGGGGTGAGGACAGACTAAAAGGGGAATCCGGACTCCTGAGTATTCCCTGTTTTGTTGTTTTGTTTTGTTTTTTTAAATGACATTTTATTTTTCAAGGTCTCTCTTGTTTCCCCACTCTGTGCAAAATCAGGGGTTCACTGTCATACCTACCTCACTTTGGGGTGTGAGGCTAAACTCAAATTGTCATCAAGTGCTTTGAAATCCACAGATGGATCTGTGGCATCTATAGGAATTCAGACTCTTTATGAAAATACTGAGCAGTGAGAGCAGACTGGTTTGTTTAACTCTGTTTATAGCTAGCTAATGAGTAAGAATCAAGTCACAAGGAACAAAGCTCCAATCCAAATCCTACAGCCCTTACTTCTGCAGAGCTTGCCAAGAGCTGAACGTAAATAAGGCTTGTAGGGTTTGCCAGCCAGGCGTAGGCTGTTCTCCTCCAAATGCCTCTCCTAGCCTGCGCTGTCTCCTTGCATATATTCTCTGTCCTTTCCCTCAGCCTGGATGCTTGTACCTGGCTGGAAATTGGGGTGTTTTTTCTTTTCAATACTCAAGTGGTTTATAAGACAACCCTGTTTGAGGTGAAATGGACAATGTTCCTTGTACTAGACATCCTTCACTAAAGGCTGAACCGTTTGGTAGGATGCTGCATTGCCTTGTCAGGAGTGGTGGTGTCCCATTCCTCTCTTCCATGCTGGTGTTTTTTTCCTGTGACTCTCAGGTATGCTGCTCAGACACTTGTAAAGGCTTTGGTTTTGCTCTCAAATGTTGTTACAGCCTAAATCCATGCTGAGATCTTCCAAAACCAGATGCAGCTAAGACTTTTGAATATTCCAGAGCAGATGGAAATGGCTGTGGGTTTCCAGCGAAAGCTGGCTTTCTTTTTTGTGGCTAAAGAGTGGAAGATTTTTATTTCTTGCCGCTTCTAGGAGTGTAAGGGCAGATATTAGACTCTTAATACTTTACCAGTCCTGTAAATACTTACCAGGCCTAGGGAGAGGTTGTTAGCACATTTGTTAGCCCCTTGTTGCTGTGTGGCTGCAGCCATCCTTGTGTAGGCTCTGTGAGGTGGCCCCAGGTCTTGGACTCCTTTCCCGCTCACAGGAGTGGAGCAGGCAGCGCTCTCAGAAGTGTGAGCATTTTAGCACTCCCCTCCATAGTGTTCCAGTCCTTGGCCAAGCCCCTGTGGTCAGCTGTGGGAGTTAGGCGGGCTGCTTGCAACTACCAGTTTTCACACTGTGGAGGGGAGATGTTGCCACCCACACAGCCCCGTCAGCAGCAGAACAAGGTCAGCTCCTGCTTCTGGGGCTGTCTTGGGTGCCTTCAAGAGCAATCCCCCCTGAAGGGGGATGTTGGAGAGATTTCAGCCTCTGCCAGATATTCCTCTGACTTCTGCCTCTCAAAATCTTCCTGCCAAGCAAATCCAGTCACTCCAGCTCCCATCCTCCCCTCCCTGTGTTTGTTCCCTAGTGAGGCAGAATTAAGTATCAGCTGGGATGGGAGGTGCTGGGGCTGGAGCTTGGGGGCAGCTCACAATAAGGCACAAGTTGGGGGGAGATCTGAACAAATCCCAACCCTCATGGAGCCTCTTAACCTATTCCTTTGGGATGGGGAACTCCACACAGAGCCTTAGGAATCGGCTGTTGCCAAGTATGCCAAAAGCTGCAGGGAAGCAGTTTCTGAAGCTGGCGCTGCATAAGTAGCTTTTAAAAATCTTGTTTGAGATGTGCTTTTTTCCAACACGTGCTGCTGAAGAAACTGGAAATATCCATCTCGTGCTACACTTGGAAACCTACTCAAGCTAATTTCATCTTGCTTACCAAAACTTGTAAATCTGCCCTTTTTAAAGGTAAAAAAGAAGTCTTGCAGTCTTTTACAAAAATACTGGAGTCTGGTCCCAGACTCTGCTATTCAGCTATGCTCAGTTCTTCCCTGCTGTATGAGAGCTGTTCAAGGTGTGTGTGCAGATGCCTGTTTTCTCATTCAGCTTGTGTGTCTGTGCTTTTTCCTTTATCAGTGTGTGCATTAGATGTGTCTAAAGCCTCAAGCCAGGCTTGGTGG